CATAAAACATAAAGCTAAAGCTAAAAGCATAATTTGATGGTGTCCTGAGTTTTTAAACTGGGCTGTTGGACACATCCCAAATGGTGTCTTGACCAATTAAACATTGTCTTAGCTCGGGGGGTTGCAATGTTTCTTCTCCCAATACATAATTCAACATGTTATTTATCAACATGTTATATAGTACCTTCTTATTAACCACTTACTGTGCGCCCCTATTTTTGAGCATTTTCTGAAAAACGACATACCCAAATAAAAATGTCTGTAGCTCTTGAACCCTATGGTCTATATTTATAAATCTGGTATTGTTTGAAACTAGACACTTGAACCAATGCTCTTAGTCACAACTTCATAAGTGGGAAAAAATTAATTTGTGAAGGCAGCATTACTTTACGATCAAGTTTTCATTCTTACTTATTCAATTACATTCTTAAATACCCAGTCACACAAGTAAAATGAAGAATACAAATTATTTCAGGAAATAAAATAATTGCATATTGCATATGCAATTTATGTATCCCTGCTAAAATAAAAATAAATAATAATAAAAATTAAAAAAAAAAAAAAACAATAGAAACCATCCCAGAAATTCTAAGGGTTTCCACTAGAAATACCATTAGAAACATTACAAACCATCAACAGTCAGAGTAAAAGTAATATCAGAGGCTTCATTTGCCCATCACTACTCAACGCTTCACACTCCAGTCCAGCGGGTGGAGCTAAAACACATACGTATGTTCACCAAACACCATTAAACCCTAGAGGAAGAACATTAGTTTCTCCGTGAGCTCTGTTGTTTTGGTCTTGATTTTAATACAAACTGTTAGAAATGTTGTTCTGTAAATAGAAAAAATACAGTTTTTGAATCAGGTCCGTAAATACCTGTACTATTCTCATCCTCAGAGTCGTGATTAAGTTTTCTAGTAAGCATGAATATCTGGAGGAGTATCATCTGAACTGAGATCAGCTGCTGTGAAGATGGTGTTTGTTAAAGAGGAGAGTGAGGAGGACATGAGTGAACCAGAACCCTGCAGAATAAAACACGAGGAACCAGAACCCTGCAGAATAAAACTAGAGGAACCAGAACCCTGCAGAATAAAACTAGAGGAACAAGGAGGTTGGTCTTTATTCTTCATTCATTTTTAATGAGTTTGTGGAACATTAAGCTAACAAAGATTTAACAGGGTGCCTGCAGATCCTTAAAAAGCTTTACATTCCTTAATGTAAAAAATAAGGGCTTAATTATCCTTAAAATGTCTAAAATCCACCTTTAAAAGGTCTTAAATATGCGATGGAACTGACAATGTGAAGATTTATATTTTATTTTCGCTCATTGCTTTTTTTAGAATTGTAAAAGTGTTTAATTCAGAGCTTGTGAGACACATCAGATTCACTGTTTTTTACATTAGTGTAATCCCAAACATTTTGTGGGCAAATGTTTGTTTTCCGCTTAAAGATAATTAATGTACATTTATGACACTGTACTTGATGTTATCTTACCCTGGCAAAAAAAAAGGAAAAAAAAAGACATGCTTCATCTCTTCTGTCTGGATTTTTCTTTCTCTGATGGACCAAACGGTAATGAAAAATTATATTTGCTAAGGTCCCATACATCTATACATTTAGACTGCCTGCTATTGTTTACTTCATGTCAGAAATGTGAAAAGATCCATTGTTCATTCATATATCTACACGAGCAAGTGATTTTGTGTTGCATAGAAGTAATGGTGGGCGGTATGCCCAAACATTTATATCACGGTATTTTTCAAAATTATACCGGTTTCACGGTATATGACGGTATATTTTTTTCCATGCATGACCGGGTGTTAACCACATTTTCTACTGATTGAGAGAGGAAATACTGCAGTAGATTTACTTAGAATGCCCTATTTTACTGTCATGACGCATGATGAGTGAATATTGTAGAAAAATTCCACACTAAATAGTGACTAAACAAGACCCATTAATACATGTTAACCAGGAGTCACTCTCATTTAAAATCGCGTCTGATAAAATCAAAGTCAAAGTCAAAGTCTGCTTTATTGTCAATTCTTCCACATGGCCAACCCTGAAACAACATACAGAACTACCACATTTTGCTATAAGTTTGATTGCATCATATAATAATTGCTGTTAATATTGTTCATCGTCTGTTTTATTACGTCTTAAATTGATTTTTCCATACATTTCTGCCATATGTACATTAACTGACAGTCACCACTGATAAGCTACCACTAAATATTGTAGAAACTTAATTCGCTGTAAAGTTGCTTTGCAATGATTTGTATCGTGAAAAGCGCTGTACAAATAAACTTGACTTGACTTGACTTGACAGCACATACATACAGAGAATTGAAATTGCGTTACTCTCAGACCCTTGGTCACTAACACTAACAGTAGAGCATAAAAATACAGATAGATACAGAATAAATATAAAATACAACTATACAAATATACAAATAAGGACATGTAAAAAATAAAAAAAAATATAAAGTTAAATAGTGCAAACCAGTGAAGTAAACAGTGCAGATAAATTGATTGTAGTGCAAAAGAGCTTATTCAGTCTGATTAAAGTGACAAAAAGCTCAGAGAGCAGTTCTTTATTTAAACTGACTGAAGAGGTAGTTGAATGAGGTCAGTTCAATGCTGAATGAGGTAGTGAGCCAGTTGAGCTGCCAATGTAATGTGCTGGGCCCTCTACAGGGAGCGTACCAGCAGTATCCTTTGGCGCTCCTCCCGACGACCGGATGTTGGTCGCTGCATCGGAGGGTGAGACTTAGCTTTCTGGAGAGGAAGATTCGGCTGCGCTGCTACCTCCGGGACTGTAGCAATGCCTGAATCAGATCCGGAAATAACGGCTATGCTTTCCGAGCCCGACCGATATATCGTTTTGCCGATATTATCGGCCGATACGAGCCTGTCGCCGATATATCGGCAGCGGCGAATAGGCCGCTGATATGAACATTTACTTTTACAGAACATATAACGCAGATAAAATGCTTGAAATGGTGTAATTACTTAGTTTGTCCAGCAGAGCGCGCTCCATTGTTTGCTACTGGCAATTCATATCATAACAAAAATAAACACCGGTATTCGGTATGAACCGGCATACCGCCCAGCACTAATGTTAGTATTGTAATTTTACTGTTGTTCTGTAAAATAAAATAAAAAGTAAGACAATAATAAGGATAATAATCATTACAACAGCTCTGTTTTAATACATTTATTATAACATTCACACATAGTGTTCAAATTAGGATCTGTAATATTTTCTAATGTTTTAAAAGAAGTCTCTTCTCAGCAAGGCTGCTTTTAATTGTACAGTAAAAAAATAAAAAATAAAAAACATGCCTGATTCAAGATGGCCAAAAAATTATTTTAGAAACGTATTAATTTTAAGTTAAATTGTGCTTTGTTGGTATAGTGTCTGCTAGAATGTTAAAAATGTTCAGTGTTAAATATTTTTAAATTGTTGTTTTGTAATTGATTTTTTTTTTTTTTGAAA